CGCTGCCCCCCCCACCCACTACCAGAGTCAGGCCTGTCCTCTCCTGTCTTTGCCCGTCCTCCCTTCCTCTCCCCTCCCCTCCCCTCCCCTCCCACTTTGGTTCCTGCTCTGAAGAGAATGATAAAACTGTTTTCGGGAGAGGAGAAGCTTTAGCTGCAGAACAGCTCTGACTTCCTGGGGACCCAGACAGTCTTTAACCAGGAAGGCTGCAGAGCCAAAGGGCCTTGGCCAATCTTGCTGTCAGATGGGTGGGGTGGGGAGACAAGTTACCAGGCGTTCTCGAAGCAGGCCGTCACCATCACCCTGTCACACGACCAAAGCAGGGCGGCATAGGAGAGCTTCCACGGTTCCCTAAGAGGCCCTGGGGACAACACTGGCTGTCCCCCGAGTCACTTTCTCATTACCAGGTGGAGAACTTGGAAAGGATCCATGTATTAAAAGCCAGACAAAGTGAAAGCTTTCTCCACATTCAGGCAGGACAAAGGTCTTCCCTGGACGAGCTGGGCAACCAAGGTGCTCAGCACAGACAGTGTGGGTGCCACTCCATGCCGCTGAGGCAGCTCTGAGGAAATGTCAGGTCAGACTTTCCTCAAGACAGACCAAGGGGAATGTCTGGTGCTGGCTTCTAGAAGAACCAAGCTTCCGTTCCTGTGGAAATCAGAGAGGGTGTGAGGGTGTGTGTGTGTGTGTGTGTGTGTGTTTGTGTGCGCGTGCACCTGTGCGTATGAAGTTGACGTCCACAGAAAGCTTCCTCTGCTGGGGGTGAACGGGGCGAGGGTATGATAAAGCAGGGCTTTTCCTTTGGCAGAGTCACTCTCGTCCTATTGGGTGCCATGGAGTGGTGGGAGATACAGACCAGGCCGGCAGGTGCCCGGAGCTCGACGACAGCAGACGGGTCACGGCGGGCGAGGGACCAGCAAGTGGGGCTTGGATGCGTTTCCCCGGCAGTCCACATATTCGTAGCTCTGGAAGACCAGCTGCTCTGAATGGCTCAGGTAGGAACAGGTCAGGGTGCCCCTGGAGAGGAAACAGGGCTGCTTTTTTTTTTTTTTTTTTTCCCCAAAAAAACCCACACCGGTTTTATTTTGAAGATTACAGAACTTGAGCCTTGACCCCACCCAGCTTCCATGTCCACCGATCTAAGGATCTGCAGTTGGGGTAGGGGTGAGAGAGAGGAGAGACCTGGTGGCGGCAGAGGAAAGGAGTAAGATGGCGGCTGAAGAGCTCCCGCCGCCCTAGGTCTGCGCTTCACTGTCTTTATTCCTCCAACACCACAAGGGTCTGGGAAGAAGAGGAAAGCCCTGGCTGGCCCTGCTCCGCTCTCTGGGGAGGGCTGGCTTCCTCACACCAAACCCGGCCCTTCCTCCTGCTCCCCACTCTGCCAGCTGCCCCCTCACCCCCCACCCCGGCCACCGCCCCCCACACACACCGGCTCTGGGCAGATCTGTGCCTGTCACGTCAGTGGCTCATAAGGTGGGCCTTAGGGGAGGGGCTGGACCTGCTAGTGCCAAGAGCCGACACAGACTCACGGGATTCGCCGCGATGACGCTCCTCCCCCGGCGGGGGGGGGGGCAGAAGTGGGAGAGGGTACCAGGGCTCCAAGCCCTACTTACTGGATGTGCAGAAGCACATGGCGGACTTTGATTTTCAGCCAGGTACAGATCTTGCTGAGAGAGGCAGAGAGAGAGAGAGAGAGAGAGAGAAGCTGGGCCCACGTTTCACACACTGAGCAGCCTGTCAGACAGCTCGGAGGAGACCTGCCGCCCCAGCCCCCCTTGCCTCCTTTCCATCAGGGGCCCCACATGCCACCCCCACCCCTTCCCCCTCCCTCTGCCCAAGGTGAGCATGTCGCCCCTGCTGCAACATCGCTCCTCCAAACTCCACCGGTTTGGCCCAGGCACGGGCTGGCCTCTCCCTCAGTAGAAAACGGTGAGTCAGGCTGAAGAGCCCAAGGTCATATATCGTTAAGTATGAACCAGATTCTAGGCTGGTTTTCATCCCAGTCCAGGTCCAAACAGGCAGAGGCGGGGGACCCTGAATGCTTGTACACTGCAGTCTTGGCCACAAGAGTGCAGGCCACATGCAGACTGCAGGGTCTGCTGAGCAATCAGAACATCTGGTGGGAATTCAAACTGGGTTTCCAACCAGGAAAGAGGCTAAGGGAGAAGGGATCAAGGGCTACTCACTATGTGTTTTCATCCCGTATCCTGTTGGCTACCGTATAAAACATCTGTCAACCAAATGGGTATAGGGTTAGCCCCAACTCCAGCCACCCGCGTCCACACACCTGTGGGCAGGTCTGGCCAGCAAGAGGGAGTCACCTGCTCACTGGCCAAAGGGCCGACGTGGAGGAGAAGGCTGTCGGAGACCTGCCCCACCACGAGGGACAGGTGCAGAACCTCAGTGGTCAGCTGGGTCACAGCGATGGGGTAGTAGTTGTTATTGGAGATGCTCAAGATATTCTGGCGAGGAAGACGGGGAAGGGAAGACGACAGGGAAAGGAAGGGGCACCATCCTTGGCAAGAGGAAGTCGGACAGTTTCAAAACCCCGCAGCCTGACTGAGCCCCACCCCCAACGTGGGCCTCAGCTGCCGAGGCCCCAGTGCCAGGAGCCCCTCGGAGGGGCTCTTAGCGGCGAGGGGTCGCCTTTAACTAAGACATTAAGCTGGCTCAAAATCCAGTCTCGCCCTGCAAGGCTCTCTCTCCCTTCAGTCCTGCCCACCCAGGGAGTCTCAGGCACACCACCCCGACTGCACCCAGTGATTTACGGCTCTGGCGTCAATTCTAACCCCTCACAGTTCCAATCCTGCACAGTCTGTTAGGGGGCTCGTGGTTGCTCCTGCTTCTCCCCAGGCTCCTGACATCCTCTGGCTGCCACAAGATCCCCGGCTACCGATGCCCGGGGTGAGCACACCGGACGAGGGCTACAGAGGAGTGTTGCCAGGAAGCTGGGGTCGGCGCCCAGGGGCACAGGCACACACCCACCGTTATATTGAGGTGGATGTCGGCCTCGCCAACAGTCACCGTGGAGGAGCTGAGGCCCACAGGCTGCACGGCGATAGTCCGGGGAAACAGGAAAAAGACGATGAGGGAGGAGGTCACCAGGCAGACGAACACTGCCAGGAACACGGAGAGCTTCCTGTGGGAGAACAGGACCCGGGGCAGAGGAGTGGAGAAGCCTGGACACCAAGGCCGCCTGGGCCGGGGGCGTTCAGACACTCTTCTCTCTACGTAAGGCCCTCCTCCGAGCCCCCACCCCAACACACACACACACACACACACACACACACACACACACACACACACACACACACACACACACACACACTGTACACTTAGCTCCCCAGATGCGGAGGACCAACCTAGGCTCAGAGGTGGCCCAGAGTGGGTAGGAGCACCGGACTGAGAGGCTGGCAGCCCCGCTTCCATTCCCAGCTCTGTGTCACCCACTGGCCCGGCGACTCTGAACAACCCGCTTAACCGCCCTAAGCCTCCGTTTCCTCGTCTATAAAATGGGGATAACGGTACCTACCTCATACCATCTGTTATGGGCTAACGCATGAAAAGGCACCAATCCCTGGCCCTGGCACATAGCCAAAGGCTCAACCAACGCTAGCTATCCTCACTGGACCAAGTAAGCCCATGTGAATTTTGACAGTTCTGAATTTTAATATCCATATTCAGAAAAAGACGGCACCTGTCCATCTAATTCAAAATTGAGATATGCATTAGAGAGAGAGCACCGTGTTAGCATTTCCTAAGGGGCACTGCCAGATTCGGCTTCTGGTGCACTGGCGGGGGCAGGCTGGGTGGTGGGCTCCCCCACGGAAGCTGAGGACCCTGGGAGGAGGTTGCAGGGATCTATGTCAAAGGACCCAGATGACAAACAGGGTCATGGGCCCCCCCAGTGAAACTCAGGGCTGCCTCCTCTTGAGGTTCTGAAGTGTCCCAGAACAGAGAGCAGCTGGTTTCCCATCTCGACGACGGGGAAAACAACAAGCAGGTCCGAGCTGCCCGTAGCAAAGGAAGTTCTTAGGAAAAATCACTTCCCCAAACCAACTGCAACCACGGCCCACTCCCTCCCTCCTGGAAGGACTTGCAGAGTCACGAGGTCCTCTGGGTCTCCGAAAGGGAGCCATGCTTCTTGGAAGCAGCGGTGCTCAGGACACCAAGAGGCCTCAGGTGGCATCTGCTGTGCCCCACCAAGAGGCCTCAGGTGGCATCTGCTGTGCCCCGAGCTTCTTAAACTAGGAAAATCCTTGGAAACAGGGAGCTAATACGTCTGAGGCCAGCGAGGCTCCGGCTCTCTGGGGGAGAACCAGTGGAGAAAAACTGGGTGGGGGCGGGGGGAAGGGGGACTGGGGGAGACAAAGAGGAAGAGCCCCCAGGGGCAACGCCTACAGAGCTGGGATAGGAAGAGGGGCTTACGTGTGCCTGGGCTTCAGCCTCTGGTCCCCGTAGGGGATGAGGGCCACCAGCTGCTTCTCTAGTTCTGTAGAAAGAGGGTGAGAGGGAGGGGCCAGGAAGTGTCCGTGACAAATGTTTCCTGTGCCAGCCTGCCAGAAGCACCCCCCCTATCCCGCAGAGCAGTGTCAGAAGCACGCCGCCTCTGCCTCAGAGCAGGACTGACTGGGGATACCGGGCTGTTGGCAGCTCGGCTTCGGCTTCGGCTTCGCCATCTCTAGAACGGAGGCGGAGGCGAGAGTTTCATTAACAGGTGTGAAGAATTCCTGCACGTCACCACAAATCAGAGAAGCCCAATTTCTTTGGAGCCGTCACTGTAACTTCCTGCACCCTAAGGCAGTGCTGCTAAGAGAGCAGAGAGGCTGGGAATCCCCTGGGTTCGGGCGGTACAACCAGGGCAGGAGGGGGTCTCTGCAGCGAGCCCAGGGAGGGTTAGCATCTCCCTGGCTAGCCTTGAAACTCAGGGACTAGGAGCTGGGAGACCCAACCCCATCCAAGCAGACTCAGGGGGGCCTGGCACCGGCCAGCTGGCTGCTAAGAGCTTTTCCTGGATCCCAGGCTACTTCCAGAGCCTGGGGCCACTCACCTCGAGGGATCTCCCCACTGCCCTGGCAGGTGGGACAAGTCACAAAGCTGACACCAGCAGCCCTTTCACAAGGCACACAGGAACAAGAAGGCTCGCTGCCGGTGGTGCTGGAGCAGCTGGCAGCCTTGCTGCCAAAGGCTGGGTCGGAGGGCAGGATCGACTTGTTCTCATCCTCCCGAGAGCCCAGCTGGGAGAATGTCTCACCCATTGTTCAGGGGTATTTTTCACTGATGAGAAAAGAACAAAGTTCAGTCAGCACTGATGCCGGGTGTCCCTCCGGTTTTAGGTGCTTGAGATCGGCAAGGAGCCCCACCACACTTTTTTTTTTTTTTTTTTTTTTTTTTTTTTTTTTTTTTTGCAGTACGCGGGCCTCTCACTGTTGTGGCCTCTCCCGCCGCGGAGCACAGGCTCCGGACGCGCAGGCCCAGCGGCCATGGCTCACGGGCCCAGCCGCTCCGCGGCACATGGGATCCTCCCAGACCGGGACACAAACCCGCGTCCCCTGCATCGGCAGGCGGACCCCCAACCACTGCGCCACCAGGGAAGCCCCCACCACACTTTCAGCAAGCTCGAGCCTAAGCAAGTGAAGGTGTGGAAATTCGAGCAGTTACACACGGCTCGGCTCGGATCAGGGATCTCAATGCATTTCAACTCTTTTTTTTTTTTTTTTTTTTTTTTTTTTAAATTGTAGGGAGAGCTCAGTCGGCCTACAAGAGGGAAAAGCAAAGCAGAAGTGATTTCACTTTAAGGGACTTTCATAAGTGAGAGGCAGAGCGCTTAGTTTTGTTCTGGAAAAGCTGCTGAGCTGTCATTCACTGCAAGGGAAGGAGGTTAGATAGGTCTTGGGGGGCGGGCCGCAGCCAGGGGAGCCCCTTCATCCTCTGCGACAAGATGACTCTGAACGTGTCTCTAGAGCACCCGGGGCAGAAATGCCCGAGGTCTCCGGCCTGGGTGTGGAAGGCAAGTTTCCATTCCTGAGCCTGCACAGGTGCTGGCGTTGACAGGAAGGCGGGGATTCTTTGGGACAAGAAAAGCAAAGAAAAAGGCGGCTAGGCTGGCCACGGGTGGGGCTGAGAACCCTAAAATGATTGTGGAAGGGAGCATAAAGCTCTTCTGCTTGCTTTCTGAGTTGGGGTGGGAAAGAATGTCTGGGCGAGGGTGGGAGCAATTTCAGGGTCAGTCCTTCACTAGGACGAGTCACAGCTAACTCCAGATCCTTCCCAAGAGACTGGTGGCAAATGAGTGGGCAAGCTGAGCCCAACTCAGACCTTCTGGGCTTAAGATAAAGGAGGCCTCACCTGGTTTAGGTCTGAGGTTTAAAATAAAGGAAGCCTCACCTGGTTTAGGCCTGAGATCCTGGGCTCCTCCCAGCTGCAAGAGGGCTCGAGATCTCTGGAGTACGTCTCTGGGGAGGAGGGCCTGTAAGGCAGGGTGGCTCCAGGGGCCACCAGTCCCCTTCCCGTAGAGTCCTGGGGACCGACTGCACCGCGTTGGAGGAGGTGGGGAGCGGCGACCCCGGCCTCCCCAAGAGGCTTCACGCCCTACTCTGGGGCTCGGCCGTGGCCTGCGGGGCCGGAGCGGACTGAGAGGCTAGGATTTCACTGAAGGAGGATTTTCAGTCCCACCACACACCCCGAGAGGCCGTTAGCAGAGCTTGGAACCTGCGTGTTGGGCTAGGAGGAGGCACAGAAGGGGCCTGGGCCCTTGCATGCCAAAGGGAAAGAAGGGAAGGAGGCTGCCTTCTTTCTAAGGAATCGATCCTAAGGAATCGCCTTACCCCCGGGCGACCGCAGCGACAGGAACGCCTGCAAAGCAGAATCGAAAGCGCGGGAGCCGGGATTTTCGCCCCAAGCTTCGGCTCAAAGCCTTGGGAAGCTCCGCCCCGGCTCCTCCGGACCCGCCCCTCCCGCCCAGGGCCAGCCTCTCTCGACACAGCGGCCAGAAAACTTCTGGGTTCTTCAAAGGCCACGCGAGGTTCCCGACGAAAGGACCGGCCAGTCCAGGTAGGAGTTTCAAAGTTTATTTCACCATTCTTTCAGCGGTTAGGTACGAGTACAATGGGACAGACGACTGGACCCCAGGGCCCTCCTGGACCCCTACAATACAACTCACATGGTCAAGACAAGATCCCGTCCCAAATCAACCGAATTAATTACACACACCCTGCCGCTCAGCCTCTACCCAGAAGCCCCCTCCCACCCACCCCCCACCCCCCGTAAAAACGTTTTAAATAATAAACAGGCTGGTTGGCTTGCAGTCTGAATCCTGGCTTATTTAACAGCATTCAAGAGTTATACTGTAAATAAACATCATTATGGCCGGTGATTAATTTAAATCACCACTCATCGTAATACCAAACCAGGTTAAGTATCTGAATCCTGGCTTATTTAACAGCATTCAAGAGTTATACTGTAAATAAACATCATTATGGCCGGTGATTAATTTAAATCACCACTCATCGTAATACCAAACCAGGTTAAGTAATGCTATTTTACTGTCCTTCCCCCTTCAGGCTGGGGGTCAGATTCTTCTTTTTCTGCAAGTAATTTTTACGACTAACATCTGTAGTGTTTTTTGTCACACCTCTTTACCAGCTGTACCCAAGACTCCCTTTCTGTAAAACAGAGTGAGGACCGGGACCCCTGCAAGCAAGCTCCTTCCCGCTCGCGTACCCTGGGGTTAAACCAAAACTTTTTCAGTGAGTTTGCTCCCATCCAAGTCTTGCAAAACACCAGCCTCTTTTTCTTGTTCTAGGTTCTCCTGAACAGACTGCAAACATTCAGGAGGCCATCAGGATGTCCCAAGCCTCACACCCACTCATTTGCCCACCCCTGAACTTCACTGACATGATTCACACAGGAGCCTGCCTTTCGCTTTTCGCATGTTCCTATACACCCCCGCCCACTCTACTGTAAAGAAGACCTGCCCCCTGACATAAAGAAAAAGGGTAACTGTTCAATTTACCTTTCCCTTTAATAGAAGAGTTTCTTTCCTTCTCTGTGGCATTAGCAAAATATTTCACACTACCTAAATTTTTTCCCTTAAATAAAATAAAATGTACGCAAAATTGCTACAACAGACACTGCTCAACAGGTGCTGCTGGGTTAATGAGCACACCCCCCGCCCCCCGCCG